CATGCAGAATTTTTTCCTCTTCTAGCTGACAATTAAAGAAGTTTAGAGAGCAGAGTGGTGCATGACATTGCATTCAAAGAATATTTTTTGATAGGGAAATAGGGAACGCGAAGGAGTTGCTTGGCTTGGTGTACAACTATGAAGCGCGGATACTTCTAAAAGGGAGTTGTATCCGTATCAGATAACGATACCCATCAGATACTCACGGATATGTATCTGATACTTCCTATAATTGATATTAAATTTCTTTAATTTTGAAAAGTATCAAAGACTTTTGGGATATTCTAGGTCCCGTATCCGAACTATTTTGAAAGTGAGATAGTAATAATTGTTGCATAACATTAGAGAAGAAGTAACTAATGAAATAAAAGTAGTACCCTACTCTTTCAAAATCTATAGAATTCACATATCCTTATAAATATGTCATATATGTATTCCATGTCCATAACTATAATATTTTATAGAAAGCAAAGATAAATTGAATATATGATGATACTAAAATCGGATTTCAATAGTTAAACAAGCAAATAAACTTGCTTCTAACACTTTTTGCATGTAACACATTTAAGTATGAAAGGAAAAAGTACAAGGGCAATAAAAAACAATTTAGGTTCTATATTAAAAAGAGATTTTCATAGGGATTACTAAAGAAAATTAGTGGTTGGCCATTGGCTCTTAAACTAATACCTAATTCTTAATTTCTAAAGAATGATGAACCATTTTTTTTGTTGAGCTTTTGTATAATACAATACTAAAAATTATTAAAAAGAAAATTTCACAATCGTATCTTGGCTGTACCCATATCATATTTGTTTAGGTTTTGTTGTATCGCCGTATCCATATCATATTGTACCCGTATTGATGCTTCATACGTGTACAAAGAGGGTACTCCCTATAATGAAGGTGTAGTTAGTTGGAATTGAAGCGGCTGCAAATCTTTAAGGGAGCCATGTAATGAGGTGGTGTTGTGTGATGCCCTTCCGATGGGTACAGTTGTACCATCTTAGCTACTGCTCTGTCCATAACACCGCCAGCAATGTTGGAAAAATCTCAACAAGATAAAATTTTGGTTGCACGCTAGTAAGCTGCTTGCCAATTGGTGGTTTCAGCAGAGACAACAGTGGACCACCTTCTGGAATATTGTAGGGTTTCCAGTGAAATGTGGGCTATACAGTTGGCACTTTTTGAAGAAAGGGGTTTTTTAAGTAGAGCTGCTTAATGGCTGGATGGGTGATCAAGTAGGGAAGATAAAAATGGTGTGGAGAGCAGCTTCTTTGTGCTTCCTGTGTATATGGAAAGAAAGGAATGCAAGATCCATAGAAGGTGTGGAGAAATCACTTCAAAGTTGAAGCACACTCATTTAGCATATTATATATTGGTCAACAAAGAAGTTGAACTAATCTGTAATTTTCTATTTATTTTTTTCTTTTTTGGTATATGCTTTTTATGTTTAAAAAAATGGTGTATATACTTTCAAGATTATTATATATAGTAATAAGAGCAATGAAAGTCAATTTTTTTGCCAATTCAAATGGTGGGTGTTGTACATCTTGCATCTAGTTCCATACTAGTGCGCTCGTTATTGAATTTTGATAGTCAAAAAAGAATTGAGCTTTTTTCTTATTTCTTTTCTTTTTCTTTCTTCACCTGTCCAAAATCACTCTCCCAACACATTGCTAAAAAGAAAATGATATACAAGCCCACTTTCTAAACCCATTTCTTGTTGGGTTAGTGGACCTTGACAAGTACTATTCACTGAGCCCTGGGTCCAATGGCAGATTTGGGGTAATTTCCTAATTGCTTCTGTGTTGCCCTAATTCTATACTTATAAATAGATGACAGGGGCGTCTCTTATAGGTTAAGAGAATTGTATTATTTTCTGATCATAGTGAAAATCACAACAACCGTGGACGTGGCCTTATTCTAGGGTAAACCATGTAAATCCTTAGGTTCTTTGTGTGTGTTTGATTTCTTTGATTCATTTATCTTTCTTGTTTGCTATTTTGTGTCTCACTGCTCCTAGTTAGGAAGAGATGATTTCCTAACATTTCTAGACCCAATGATATGTAAATGAGATGAATGGTTGATGATTAAAGAAAATATGAGAGAGAGAGAGTTGCCTCAGATATTCTAATTGATTGCCACATTATTGGGTTTGAAAAGTGAGTCTAATTTTGGGGTTTTGTTTTTGGGTGGATAAAGTCTAATTTTGGGGTTAGAATGGCCTTCTTTCTCCTCTTTCTCTCAGTTAGGGTTTTTGTTTATAGCCACCAACGATCCTATCTAGGACAGGATCGCGTTTCTCTCTCTACAGAAACGCGATTCTTACACGTTTCTTTCGAAGAAACGCGGAATCGCGTTTCTCACGGAGATTTGTCACCTGGTTGCGCGATTCCTGCAACTAAGTTCAAAACAAACAATACATAACAGAAACAATGGAACTATTAAATTATATCATTAAAAATATAAGGAAGTTCAACAATTCCGATAAAACATAATGCATTTAGTGGTACTGAATATTACCAACTTTGCAAGGCGGCCCAGATTTGGTAGTATCATCGTCTGTTGACAACAATAAAAAGAAAGTTACTAGCCAGCATTAGGAATATGAAAAAGTACGTGGAGACACCTACACAACTCACTCACCCACCCATTTTATCGTTGGCCACACGAGATGTTAAATTTGAATCTTACAAATTTCTCTTTCTCCTTTGACCCTGTTTCAACTTTGTTTTGCCCACAAATCAAAACAAGAGGTCCTGATAACTGATCAAGCATTTCTTGCACCTTATGGACAAACTCTTTTCGATTTGACTTGGAAACAGCCCTTGACAGCCACAGAGAAGAGTCTGGAAAATAGACAATAATAGGTTGTGTAGAATGCAGGACCTGCAAACAATATAAGATTATTACAAAACATCAAACAGGAAAAAAGATATGTTACATCAAACAAGGTAGACAATCATAAATGGAGCACCATACCTCACACAGCGCCTCCATCGCAACATAGCAGTCTTCCGCTTGAATATCAAGATCATGCTCCAGATTTTTTACTGTAAGCAAACAAAATTTTTGAACTAATTGAATATATTTATATATGCTAATACTAAACAAAGGCAAGTCAGTTTCATGGGTCAGGGCATGCCTAGCAGTTTAGCAATAGAAAGTTCAAACAATTAAGAAAAGATTTCCGGCAAAATCATGAAATCTACCAAATTCATGCAAATAAATTACAAGAGTAGAACAAAATCAGAAAAGATAACTAAAGAATTTGAAGAGGAACTTTGTCCAGTTCAAACATTCACCTAGGGCCAGCAAATCTGAAGCATGGTGTCATCCCTAAAACTGAAAGCTGAGGAGGATCATATCAAGCTTTATAAATGTCACAAATATAAGCATATGCACGTTTCATATTAACTAGTTCCAATACAGCAAAATAAGTTCCAACAAATATGTGAAGCAGACAATAAATACATAAAGTGGACAAATATATGTTCATAAAATGTGTGACACTGAAGATAGCAGCCAGATTGAAATTAAAAGCATACAAGTATAGCAGATTATCTCTCTGATGAGTTGAAACTAAGAGTCAGCAAAGCCTGAATTGTTTCAAGTTGACCAAAATGAAATTCAAGTTACATATCCTTTAAAAGGAAAAAAATTAAAAAAAAACAATATCTTCTAATCTACAAACAGTATAGGAAAGTTTTGTGCATTAATACAGAAATGAGGTTCTGACATTAGGACTCTCCAAAATCAAAAAATAAGAACGCAGTTAGACAAGTGCATATTTTGAATTATCAATATAAACAATACACTTATTAGTGTTTTGGTCAGGGAGCATGTGAAAGAAGTTCAAGAATAAAGCACTAAAGAATGTAATAATTTGAAGAAGGTCCTTCCATCCTTTTACTCGTATTCTCGGCTGGAATCATAAATGGGTTCTCCTCTTTGATGATCCTTTCTATAGGTAGAACTAGCGTGAGCGGTCTAAACTTAGCCCACTGGGCTGAGTCTTTGCCCACTTCAGAGTCTTCGCCTTTAGATAACAAAAAATGTCCACCATTTAGGTCGCCAAACTACGACGAAAGATTCGCCTTTTGAAGCTCCAATTGCGTAGGGCAACCCAGCGACAAAGGCGCTGACCCTGCCAACCAGGTCAAAATCGCCAAGCAGCAACCTAACTTGGAAAATCAACCATGTCCCTTGGTTTGGTTGTTCTAGCCTCGCCATCGAAAGCACGGTTTCAGAAATGCTCTAGTTATGCTCTGTGGGTTTCGCATGATTAGAATCAATCAGAACTCACCAGCCCAGAAAAGCAGATCTGCTGATGGTTAGGTAGTTAGCGAACATCGCCTTTCTCATCTAGGACTTAGACCTGTACAACCCCACCTTCCTCTTACGTGAACGTATGTCAAGGTTCATCTATTTTGATACAAAAACTACAAGTTTGAGAGACTAGACCAAACCCACTTTGGGAACTTGGTCCTTCTGTGGTTCTCAAATGGTCAGGTTTGAAGCATCATCCCAACCTAGTCATATTTCCTATCTCAGCACATTCTTTTCAATGCCACCACCCTGCTTTCATATGTCCTAAAAAGTGTTCCATGTAAGGGTACAGGACTGAGAGCTGGGAAAGAAGACTCATCAAATAGCTGATTGGCTGTCTCCTCTTGGATGTCATTGTTCTTTCCTTTGGGAGTGGTGGCTTCTATTGAAGAGCGTAAGATAGATAGGGGTAAGGAAGGACAAGGTCCTATAAACAACCAACTCCGTAGCTCATATCGAATCTTGAGCCTTTAGCGAATCCGTGTCGGCATCCCCCCTAGCCCCTACTTCAAAAGGGCACTCCAACACCCGAAGAAAATTTTCCGGGGAGTCAATATGAAGCTATGGATGAATTTTAGTGGTTCGACATAATAACCTTTATGTATTAATAAACATCTTCCCACTGTACATCATATTTTACCAATTTAGAAATTTTATGCAATTTTCTCAGTCATATAGAATTCTTTCAGCATCTAGCATTCAAATATGCAGGTTACATGTACATATGCCAACATATCATTAGCACTTCCTTCAGCATTAACAAATGAAACCTTGGAAAGCATTAGCAATTTCAACCTCATCAAATACATACATATATATATATATATATATATTGATAAATCAACCTCATCAAATACAATTATACTCATGCCAGATACCATAAAATGAAAAAATGCCAAAGCTAAAATATTTTATACACTGAGCTATATAATAATTTTTTCATTGATATGAAGAGACATACCCTGAACAAAATACAATAATGGTTCTGCAGCTTCCCCTGTTGGTTTCTCATCCTTCTCTCCTTCGTCTGTACTGTTCTCACTAATGTCCAAAAGCAAAGCAACACGATCCCCCATCACCTCATAGACCTCCCCACGTTTACCATTTGGTAAAGACCTGCCATATAAGTCAATTTGTTAGGGTCAGCATTTTTTTTATCGGCGTTAGGATCAGTGATTTCTCATCTAAATTTAACACAAAGCATTTAGAATTGCCTAATTCCACTGCCAAGATATGTAATAACCTACAAAGAAACTTATTAAATATGATAAATGTTAAAGTATCGTCCCAGACACTAAACACATTGAGAGAACAGGCACACAATTTTGTTTCGCAATATCTTTCTAATCAAAATAAATAGCATAGGAACATGACTAATTTTAAATTGAAACCCACCAAGTTTAGTACATGATCACGTACACCCCGCAATAAATTAACAATCTAAATACATGCACCACATGTTCCATTAAGAAATATCAAACAATTCACCAGAAAATTTCACCACTGCATAAACAAATTGCATATGCTAGTAGCTGTTACTAAAGCTAGTGCATTAACATGTGAAGGTTCACCAAAATATAAATTGTTAGAATTTACCATCACCTACCACCACTACCACCTCACCTACTCCACTAAACCTAACCCACTACACCACTATCACCATCCACTACGGTTTCACATGATTAGAATCAATCAGAACTCACCTGCCCAGAAAAGCAGATCTGCTGATGGTTAGGTAGTTAGCGAACATCGCCTTTCTCATCTAGGACTTAGACCTGTACAACCCCACCTTCCTCTTACGTGAACGTATGTCAAGGTTCATCTATTTTGATACAAAAACTACAAGTTTGAGAGACTAGACCAAACCCACTTTGGGAACTTGGTCCTTCTGTGGTTCTCAAATGGTCAGGTTTGAAGCATCATCCCAACCTAGTCATATTTCCTATCTCAGCACATTCTTTTCAATGCCACCACCCTGCTTTCATATGTCCTAAAAAGTGTTCCATGAAAGGGTACAGGACTGAGAGCTGGGAAAGAAGACTCATCAAATAGCTGATTGGCTGTTTCCTCTTGGATGTCATTGTTCTTTCCTTTGGGAGTGGTGGCTTCTATTGAAGAGCGTAAGATAGATAGGGGTAAGGAAGGACAAGGTCCCATAAACAACCAACTCCGTAGCTCATATCTAATCTTGAGCCTTTAGCGAATCCGTGTCAGCATCCCCCCTAGCCCCTACTTCAAAAGGGCACTCCAACACCCGAAGAAAATTTTCTGGGGAGTCAAAGCGTCGAGGCACGAAGTCTTAAATTCGTACGCAATTCTGAAGCTGGTACATGCTGCACTGGTCAGGGAAAGGGGGAGGGTAGCAAAACTTAGCGAGCTTTACAAGGCCGACCACTACATAAGCCGTAAGCAACAGCTTTTCTACAAATTTAGAACTTAAAAAATAAAGCAATAAAGAAGATAGTAATTCAAAATAGGTTTTTGTGCAACAGTTTTTCTGCAAATTTATGAGGTGAGATAGGGAAGTCTAGTCCTAAGTGTGCACCCATTAACAAGAATGTGTTCAACTCACCAAAGCTTTTAAAGAGTGGAAATTGTAAACAATATGAAGCTATGAATGAATTTTAGTGGTTCGACATAATAACCTTTATGTATTAATAAACACCTTCCCACTGTGCATCATATTTTACCAATTGAGAAATTTTATGCAATTTTCTCAGTCATATAGAATTCTTTCAGCATCTAGCATTCAAATATGCAGGTTACAGTACATATGCCAACATATCATTAGGACTTCCTTCAGCATTAACAAATGAAACCTTGGAAAGCATTAGCAATTTCAACCTCATCAAATACACACACACATATATATATATATATATTTTGATAAATCAACCTCATCAAATACAATTATACTCATGCCAGATACCATAAAATGAAAAAATGCCAAGGCTGAAATATTTTATACACCGAGCTATATAATAATTTTTTCATTGATATGAAGAGACATACCCTGAACAAAATACAATAATGGTTCTGCAGCTTCCCCTGTCGGTTTCTCATCCTTCTCTCCTTCGTCTGTACTGTTCTCACTAATGTCCAAAAGCAAAGCAACACGATCCCCCATCACCTCATAGACCTCCCCACGTTTACCATTTGGTAAAGACCTGCCATATAAGTCAATTTGTTAGGGTCAGTGATTTTTTTTTAATCGGCGTTAGGATCAGTGATTTCTCATCTAAATTTAACACAAAGCATTTAGAATTGCCTAATTCCACTGCCAAGATATGTAATAACCTAAAAAGAAACTTATTAAATATGATAAATGTTAAAGTATCGTCCCAGACACTAAACACATTGAGAGAACAGGCACACAATTTTGTTTCGCAATATCTTTCTAATCAAAATAAATAGCATAGGAACATGACTAATTTTAAATTGAAACCCACCAAGTTTAGTACATGATCACGTACACCCCGCAATAAATTAACAATCTAAATACATGCACCACATGTTCCATTAAGAAATATCAAACAATTCACCAGAAAATTTCACCACTGCATAAACAAATTGCATATGCTAGTAGCTGTTACTAAAGCTAGTGCATTAACATGTGAAGGTTCACCAAAATATAAATTGTTAGAATTTACCATCACCTACCACCACTACCACCTCACCTACTCCACTAAACCTAACCCACTACACCACTATCACCATCCACTACACACCATCCACTACACCTACATCTATATAAGGAACCATTTGTAATAGACAGAAAACATAACATTATATCAATCAATAATACATCATTCATTCTCTATACAATTCTCTTTATACACTACACCACTATCACCATCCACTACACACCATCCACTACACCTACATCTATATAAGGAACCATTTGTAATAGACAGAAAACATAACATTATATCAATCAATAATACATCATTCATTCTCTATACAATTCTCTTTATACATTGATTTTTACATAAATTATAAGGAGCAGCTCAGTAAAAAGATGAGAGAGAAAAAAAGGAGCTTATGATGCTTATAGACAAACCCGCTGTGCAGTTTATTCAGATCACATCCAATTAATGTGCATACAAATCAATTTTTCCCTTTTCTCTTTCGGCATAAAATAATGTCTACTAACCGAAGGACCCAACCTGGCTTAAACTCTCAAAGAAAATACTTGTTAAGTACATAATCAGGTGATTTCAGACCTGAACTGTATTGGAAGAATATTACATCCAACCACATGAAAAATTTTCACTACCACAAGACTCACTATGGGCCTGTTTGATACAGCTTATTGTAAGCTAAAAGTTGATAATTAGAAAGACAAACCAAAACCATCCCTCCCCCCCCCCCCACCTAATATTTTGCTTCCGAATAATCAACTTCTTCCACCTTATTTGAGCTCTTTCTGCCTAATAAGTTTTAGCAGAAACTACAATAAACAGTCTGAAACAGACTCACAGAATAAAATAATTAAAATAAATTAATAAAATTAATTTAAAAATAAAAACTATGAGCAGAACCTATATAGAAAAGCATATTCTTTGGCACAAAACCTGTATAAAGTATTGAGAAGTTTAGTTTGGAATCAAACCGCTTGGAAATAAAACTAGACTCCTGAGCTTTCAAATGAAATGCGGCAAACAAAGTTACGAGTTCAGATGAGCCAGAAGCTATAGCTACAAAGAATGTGAAAAGAAACATGCAGCAAGCCAATGCAAAAAACGAACAGAACAGTCTAAATCGCCTGGAGGATACTTGAGACCTCTACAACACTCAAGGGCAGTTGCCCAAATTCAGCCAATGGCAGATCTACAAATCTAAACACTGGGTCTGTTTGGTGCAACTTTTTTGTAAGCTGATAATCAAAAAGCAAAAACCAAAAGCACGGCGCCTCTAGCTTTGAGATAATCATCTTTTTCCGCTGATTTAAGCTATTTCTGCCTAAGTTGTAAGCTGAAGTTGCACCAAACAGTTTGGCATAGATTTTCAAAATAAAAAATTGAAAATAGAAAAGTTATAAGCAGCTCATATAAGCTGCACTGCACCAATATCAGCTTGAATATAGAAGACTAATCCTTAAACTGCCTAAGCAACTGAGCACCATGCCAAGGACCATCAGATACGTTGCAAACACCATCCGGTCACAATCACCTTCTACAAGGAACAATAGCAATACTATAAATCAGTTAAAAATGCTCTCAAGGCCTTCTGACAAACCAAAATTTTAATGAACATTTTCTGTCCAGTTCGGAGAAAGAAAGAATCCAGAATTCCTCAAGATACAAAATAAGCATGAAACTTCTTGATGCCCCAGATTTTCAAAAGCACAGCCATCAAAAAGTAGCAATTGATTGTATTACTTGAAGGGGCACTGGAAATGCCCCTAGATGAGACAACAATAATAGCCTCAAAAAAGACGAAATAGCAAAAAGGAAAATTTCAGTCAGAGCATGTCCTCACTCCACATCAGGAATCCTCCACATGATTGAATCCTATACTGCCTCTTCAACAAAATATCCAATATAACATATCAGGATATTCCTGCGAAATGACTTTTTATGGACAATAACAAGTCTCCCATGATGTAGCATTATCTCCAAGCCATTTTCTTGAAAACCATATTTCTTGATCATTAAATGCAATATCTAGTTTGTTGCTCAAAAATATCCACAACCATTTCTTTCAAAGCTTCATTCAAAGAGCCATATAACATCAACCTGGGTTCATTTGTGTGGGCATCAACTTCCCCTCTTTCTAAAAAGGCTTTATTCATACAGAGCACATATTTCATGCCATCTTCGTTACCAACTTCCCAACTCAACTTAACTCAGCAAAAAGGGCCTTAATCCCAATTGCTTAGGGTTGGTGGCATGCATTTGTGCTCTACAGATGACTCTACAGAAACCATCTTTGGTTAAATCCAAGGTATCCATGTCTTTCTCACCACCTCAACCCATGTCCTTCTTAACCTTTCCGATCCTTTTGGCATCAACTTCTCGGATCAAATTACTTCTTATTGGTGCATTAATTGGTACGCACTGCACATGGCTAAACCATCTCACACTATTTTCCCTATTCTATATTCAATCAATGCTACTTCTACACACGAATGCATTCATTTCTTATCCTACCTTTTCATCATTTGAACATGTTACTTCTTTACTTCCCAATCCTGTGAAGTACAACACAACCAACCTAATAGTTGGTCCTATATAACTTTGCTTTCAACATAACCAGAATTCCACAATCACATGACACTGGTAAAGCAGTTCTCCATTTCATTCATTCTGCTTTAACACTATGAGCAGATCCTCCTCAAATTCCCCTTTCTTATGGACAATGGATCGATGATATCATAAATCATCGCTATCAACTTTCAAGTATCTCTGGACCATCAAGTATTTCTTGATATCCGAAATGTAACTTTAGCTTGCTAAAAAATTACATGCAATATAGCCTTCGACTTATAATTATCAACTGAATATCCCATCTTAGAGCTTACTCTGCTCCAGCAACGTCAATTGAACAACATCATTGGCAGGAAAAGAAAAGCACTTGAGCTTATCTTCTTGAATGTACCTCATATATTGATCCATCAGTAATGCAAATCATAAGTACTTATATTCTGATCCTTGATGTAAGCCCATTGCTGTTGGGAGATCACTTATCTCACCCATACTATTCTTAACAAGACTCTTGTTCCCATGATGCATGTCCTTAATCACATGAACATATAAAAACATCCATCTTTTCTCTCTAAGAACCCTATCATACACCTTTTCTATGTCAATAAACACCATGCAAAGGTCTTTCATCTTTTCTCTATAATTTCCATCAATTGCCTGGGAAAATAGCTTCCATGGTAGATCTCTTACGCTTAACAACTCAGTTGAAGATAACAAGTAATACTTTTGTACTAGAAAATTATAATACCTGAATACATACATGACATGACTATGCATGTACACATGAATAGCTGACGTGTGCAAATGCAAACACCTTTAACTAATTGCTATGACTTATACCTATGATATTAACATCTTCACCAGATTCTCAATGGAACTTTGAGGAATCTTCTGCTTCCAGCTGAATTTCATTAACCATGTTGTTTTGACTTGGAAACCGGTCAGCAAAAGAAACAGAAATAAAAGGTGCTGCTTAAATACAAGATGATAGTTTGTCCAAAGGATGGATAAAGATTACAAAGCAAATTGAACCCATCTCACAAAAGCAGGTAATAAATAGTTAAAACAGTATCCATGATAAGAAGGAAAAGGAAAACATGTAAAGAGCATTTGTGGAAAACAATGTGCTAATTGGCCGCAAGTAATTAATATTTATATATAAGCATTGCCAGCATGCAAACACTCTAAAAGAATAACAATTGAAAAATGTTCCAAATCAGGATGCATGAGCAAACTTATTGATCATAAATTTTCAATGAATGAAGCCACTCGCACAAGGAAACCAACACATTACATTGCATCAGTAGTAGACTATGAAAACACAAGGAACAAAGAAGCATAAAAAATATTTGTAGTTCCAACAAAGAGCCAAGAATGAAAGGGCAATGATAGTTTTTCTTCCATACATCAGGCCGACTTACCAACCCACCTGCCACGGATAACGGTATAAGCATTAGTTGGACCATCAGAAGTTGTTATCTTCCCCAATATGATCCTGTGATGCATTATATGTATTAATAACCAGGATAGGCCAAAGCCATAGTGCACAGGGGAATGCTAAGTGCCCAATAGATGCATGGGGAACATGACACTGCCCACCGGAAGGAAAAAAAATAAAAAAGGAACAAGAAGAAAACAACCAGCTTCTTAAGTGCCCTAATTTTCAAATATCAGACAGCTAATAGGATGACGCCATATATTTTTTTCCCACACCCAAAAGGAGCACAAACTCAGAATGAGAAAAGTTTGCAGAATAAAAAGGAAAGGGCGGAAATTTTTAAACAGAAGTAAATTTCATAATAGTTCAGCTGTTGCAAAGGGGAGAAATAATTAAGCCTAACTTATGATGTGTAACATTCAAACAAAAGTTTCTGCAGCAATGCAGTCGGGTTCATAAATTTGTTCCCACAAATCTGTAACAAGAATTGGCAAGTCACAAAAGGGAAAACATTCACCAATTAGAAGGCTAGACAAATCCCATGTACAGGCCTGGCCCTGGAAGAAGGCAAGAAAGGCTGTTGCCTTGGGCCCACAGATTTTGGCCCAAAAAAGGGCCCCCAAATTATTTAGTCAACTGTAGTATTAAAAATTAAAAAAGACCCCATATAAATATGAGGACCAATGTAATGTGTTTTCATAGTCTACTACAGCTATATAGAAGAATAGAGACAAACATAGATTGGGATCCTACAATCCATGTATATTTACGGTCAGCCAACTAATTGATAGGATGGACCACCACCTTATCCCAATCTTCCATGCAATCCCATGCAGACAGTCCAAGAGTTATGACTAAGGCAAATGCACACCCACGTGGCTTAGTTCCACAAAAGCAATGATCCAAAACTAAGATGACACCAAGTGAAGCAAACAACTATGACATCAGTCGCATGAACAAACATCACACACACGAATCAGCTTGTGTCAAAAAGCACAAATAGATGTGTCCCAAAAAAAAAGAAAAAAGAAAAAAAAAGCACAAATAGTTCCAACTCAACCAATGAGTCACAAAATGTAAGTTTAGGGTTGAGTCACAAAATGTAAGTTTAGAGAACCTCAACAATGGTACAATCCAGAAAAAAGTGAACAGGAAAAAACCTCAATGATTTTTACTTCCACCTGCCTTGTAAGGTGGCATATACGATGCCCACACAACGAATTCAATGAAAAGACAAATATAAGACCACCATGAAGCTTGTTTTGGTTCTAAGAATTTAATTGCTGAGAATATTGTTCTGTTCTCATCGTGTGGATTAGTAAAGAGTTCCATGGATCTACAATCACCTCATTAAAGAAATCTTTGATCTCCCTCTCTCTCAATAAACAAGATTTATTGAGTACAAAGGAAAGATAAGTCATACTTCCTTCACACTCCCAAAGTAGCTACTAGCGAAGCATCTTGAGCTAAAAGAGAAGCTATTTTCCTCCATGTTGCAGCATTTTCTTCTCGATCTCCTTTCAACTCTCTTATATTTCACCCTTTCTGTAAAGTCCGTGTTGAGGATTTCTTCTCCTCATACCTACTACTCTTGTGTCTCTGTAGCGATGGTTGTTAATTATCATAAAATAAAGGGACCTCAATTTAGTATGTATAGCAATGCAATAGTTTCAATTTGACAGAGAACAATTTTTTTTTCTAGCCACTTCATAGCTCTCTTCAAGATTGTGTGCTGTGAGTCCAACAATAATTGTGATACCTAAGGAACTCTAGGATTGATTCCAAAACATTCTATTTCTTCTTCTCTGCAATTTTCTGCATTTTCATTTCAAACCTCTAAAGCCAACAAGAAAAACTATCAACCTTTGTTTTACCCTTAAAATCCCATTGGACAAACTTAATCCATCCCTGTTTCAGTCCTACAACTATCACACACAAATGAGTCAAAAAAATTTAGAAAGTTGTTTTGTTGGCAACTGTTTACAACACCTAGAACAACCATAGAACTGGAGTGTCCTTGGCAGTACCTGTAAATCATCTTCAACACTTGTTGAGGAGACCACATTCCCCCATTTAACGCTTTTAAAGCCTTTGTTGTGACTGTCACTTCTGTAACTCACTGCTACCTTTCCCATTTTACTTTGTGATTGTTCTCTTTTACGCTAAGAAGTATGGACACTTCTAAGAAGGTGCATGTACATGTCCTGTCGTGTTTGTGTCTGACACTAACACTCATCAAACACTTCCCAACATGTGTCGGACACACATCCAAATGTGTCAAAGTATTTTTTTTTTTTTTTTAAAGTTTAACCAACACACTTTGAACACTTTGGGGAGACACACAAGTTCATCACATCAGCACACATGAAACACATTATAAAATCATATATTTTGTGCATGTCCCCCACGTGTCGTCTCTTACATTTTTTTAAAATTGATTTGTCAATATGTCTATGTTGTGTCAAGTGTTTGTGCTTCTTAGCTTTTACAAATATCCCTATTGCCAGAGCAGCTTTGGCTGCTTCAAGAGCCATGTACAACTATCCAATGCATTGACTAGTTGGCTGTTGCTGTGGAAGCTCAACTGCCTGCTCTGCCAATAGCAGCGCCATTTGTTTAACTAAACACAAATTAAAACAACAGCAGCAGTGGTATCAATTATACAACCGAGTTAAGTACTAAGCAAAAAAGGAAACAAAATAGAAGCAAAAAAGAAAAAAAAAAAACAAACAAAGGAAAACCAAAAAAAAAAAAAAAAAAAAAAAAAAAAAACAAACAAAAGATGAGTTCAGTCAACATTAATGGTTTAACATTGTCATTTCCATACCATGAATCCACAACACAATAACAGATTTTCACAAACTGAATGCTTAAAAATAAACATTAGATCCACCTTGTACAAATAATTCTAATATCAACAGTAGCAACCATCCAGATTATGTAAAGAACTAGCAGCTATGGTTTTTAACTCAAAAAAAAAGGAGCAAACAACACCAGCACCACCACCACTGATGCAAAGAGAAATGTGCACACCAGACAAATCATACACAAAATTATTGCACTAAGTACAACCAAAAAACAAAATTCGGTTTTTTTCCTTCAAAACAACCAAAATGCTTCCGTTTCCTAAGAAACTAAAATGAAACATTAGTGGAATACAGAAACTCCAATGTTTCCACCAAAATGCACCAAAACACACCAAGAATATTTTAAAATGCTCATTTTATTTGCATCTTTTGTCCACAAAAATAAAATAAAATAAAATAAAATAAAATTTGAGAACAAAGAAAAAGTACTAAATTTATTAGGGAATCCTACAAACTAGATAGGAGAATAAGAGAGATAGAGAACAAAAGATAAATCAAGCATGATTACATTTTTCTCATCCTGACTACTAGAATTTTGTATTTTTTAAATGTTTTTTCTTATTTAAACCTTTTGTTTATGAGCTTCTAATATTCATAGACCTCACCATGATCAATTAGTTAATTATTGAAAATGTATTAGCATTTATATAGGCTTTAATTCTAGTTTCCAAACATTTGTAAAAGTTTTCATAATATTTTCTTATTTGCTTTATGTTTCCAAAACATGTTTTTTTGGGTTAATTACACCAAGACCCCCTCAACTATTAGTGAGTATCACTTAACCCCGTCATCTATGAATCTGTACATATTGAACTCCTCAACTACGAAAATTGTACAAATACACAGCTTTTGGAGGTGGTTTGGAGGGGGTGGGGTGTGAAAGTGATAACTTTTTTATAGTTGAGGGGTTCAATATGTACGGGCTCATAGATGACGGGGTTAAAGTGATACTCACTAACTCCTTTTTTTTCAAGCTAACCAAAAAGAGATTTTGATCCTTAGAGTACAATATAAACAATATTTAATCAAGCAGATTGAAGACTCAACAGATTGGTTTAAGTCATGAGCATTTTTTAAGGATCATGAGTGTACAAAACTTAAATTTGATTTGAACAATGCAAATATCATTTGCTATTAATCCATAGGACATGGTAGAAAGCAACCCATTGAATATCAAAATTGTTTCTACAAAAGGGAAATCTGTCAACATCCTAGATATCTAAGAAAGATAGTATGGCAATTGCTAAAAGAGACATCAAGGAAAGGTTCATTACTTGTTACCCGCTTCAGCGTTGAGAGTAGGACCAATATATTTCACCCGATCCCCTGGTAACAGATGATTAAACAATGTAGATGTAAAAATGAATAAAAAATATCAGTCAGACAGATGAATCAGCAATTATTTTAAATTACTAGAATCATTCATTATTACAAAAATACAAAAGCCATATACTATTTATTGATAGCAAAACCACAAAGGACAATATAAACACACTGGTACCACCATAACGAGTACACCCACCACCCAACACCGCCTTCACCTTCAAAATGAACCCTATTACCACCACAACAGCAGCCACCCCCAGTTTGACCATACCACCACCACCAATACTGACACTTTTTTTGGTACAAAGGGCCAAAGGGGCACCTAGGCCCTAAAAAAAAAAAAACTACAAAGTAATCACACAGCACCAACCAATATCATGCATAAGGCTCATGAGGGTGACTAATAATAGGCATATGGTTGCCAAGCTGACGTGCCCCTTTTGCAAGAAGGAAGGTCTGCATACCGGTTAGCCTTACGCCAAGTATGTTCAATCTGGCACTCCCAACCCCACTCCAGGAGATAACGATTAAAAAAATCAAGTTATAACAGGGATGAACGCCATCAGCCTACATGATAACTCTAATAGCTTCAAGAAAGAAAGTACAACCTCTACCATAACCATTATCCACTTTCACAATCACCTTAATTACCTGCACATTCCTATTTGTGCCACCTTCCCAACACTGCCATCACCACAACCAGCCATACTGCCTCCCATCCAAAAGTACCATTTCAAAGCCATTCACACTTGCATGCTTTTGACAATAATATAGCAAGAAATAAAAGCTCGCTAGTGAGCATAAATGATAGAATTCAAAAAGACTTATAAAATAAGCACCAGCTTATAATCAGAGTAACTTTGGATGCATCCAATATGAATAGAAGCTTCTGGCGATAGGAGAACAAGAAAGGAACAACAGTTTTTTTTTTTGGCATTTGGGGGGTTGAGGTAAAGGAAAGAGTGGCTTGATCAACAAAGCTGGAGAGAAAAATTAAACTTCGCTTAGCAGGAGAACATAATATCCTCAAGCAAAAAGATGTATGAGATCTGCATTTGACTAAAAATTGTTAATTTGGATTCATTCCACCAAATAGAGAAAGGTTGTCACTTGTAACTTATGGTACTGTGCTATTAGAAGTTTATTAAAATTTGGGTAAATTACAAATACAACCCCCTGAGGTTTGCTTAAAATATGAATTGTCCCTTGCGGTTCTAAAAATTACAAATACCCCCTTTGTCTAAAAAATTTATTTAATAGAATTAACAAAAAAAAATGAAATTCCTAACTACTCTCCTATGCAACAATAAAATTACCAGAATTGTTAATTGAAAATATATTTATGACATTATTAAAAACAGTTAATTGACTTAATGATTTATTAATAAAAGGAGTAATTTGTTATGCAATTAGAAATTTCAAAGGGCGGGATACAATTTCTAGAAATTAGGAAGCGGATCATCTATTTCTCCATTGCCCGATGGCTCGTGTATTATGGCAGCGGTTATTCAGCTTATGTGATGAGCAGTGGGTTGCTCCGCGGGACTGTATTCAGATGCTTCTTATTCGGTTTATAGGGTTTGGAAGAACCAAGAGAGCCAAAACAATATGGACATGTATTGTTTGTGCTATTTTTTGGGCTATATGGTTGGAGAGAAATGCTAGAATCTTTGATGACAAGGAAGCAAGTGTAAAGGCTTTGTGGGATAGGGTGAATTATTTGGCGTCTTTTTGGGCCTTTGTATCCCCTCCTTTTAAAGGAGTTCCCTTGTTTTTGATCTCTAACTACTCTCCTATGCAACAATAAAATTACCAGAATTGTTAATTGAAAATATATTTATGACATTATTAAAAACAGTTAATTGACTTAATGATTTATTAATAAAATGAGTCATTTGTTATGCAATTAGAAATTTCAAAGGGCGGGATACAATTTCTAGAACCAAAGGGGACAATTCGTATTTTAAGCAAATCTCAAAGGGAGTGTATTTGTAATTTAGCCTCAAATTTTCATTTGACGAAGACAATAATTTGTTCCTGGTGAAGACTGAAGATAATTTGGAAAACTCTCATCATTGCAAACATCAAGCTATCATCTAGATCCTATTAGATCCCCTAACTTAAACACGCCCTAAGCTTTGCAATTAGTAAACTGATTCAATGTACCTGGAGCATTAGATCTCCTTAATTAGATGATCCCTAGTCAGCATTAACTTTGCAATTAGTGAACTGAATCTATTTAAGATTATATGCCTTTCCTTTTGTCCATGCAGGTAGTCATTTAGTTTATTTGAGTTTTTAAAATAAGCTGAAAACCTAAAAAGTTCTAACAAACATTCTAACTTTTCAAATACGATTGCTTAAAGCATGGATTTCCAATTGTAAACTAAATAAGTTGCAAATAAGTTTTGCCAGACTGGGGCCATTGCACAAACTAATTCTTTTTTATCAATAATGAATAAATATTATTAATATATATAGAGAGAGAGAGAGAGTATAATTGCCTTTCTTTAGCGGTCGTTTGGGTTTATCTGAAGGCTCAACACTCTCCACCTTCGAAGATTCAGAGGAACTTTCAGATTCTCCAGAAACACTCTGCAACAAATATAATTTCAGACTAAGAAAATTGATTGAAGTTCAGAATTCATCACTATTGAAAATATATATGTGTGTGCGCGCGCTAACTGATTTCATGCCCCGTCCACGTATACAGCACACCTCTTTGTAGCTAATATTGTAAAACCCTATAACCTCCAAAATTAAGGAGTGGTTTGAAATGTTCTAAATAAGTGCACTTTTTGACTTTCTATAAAAAAAAATGTGTAGAAAAGTAGAGAAAGTTGGTAGAAAAGTAGAGGGAAGATGTTGATAGATTTGACCCAAACAATTGTATGTATGCAAAAAAAAGTGCACTTTTTTAGTGCATGCCAAACACCTACTAAATGTTTTTAGTAAGCTAATTGATCCAATGGTTTATAGCCATGTTCTCCAATGTTTAATAAAAAACATTATGGGCAAATATATTGCTAGAAAACATTAAATATAAGATTTTATTCTTTTTTCCCATGTATATAATAAATTAAATCAAATGTCATATACTAGACTTCCACTATAAAATTATGTGTCATTACATGAAAAGAATATAATCATCACTAGGCTCACTTTAATATTATTTTTTTTTATTGACAGCTTACTTTAAAATTAATAATTAGTTTTCCAAATCATTGCAATGTTTTAATTTAGCTTTATATAGTTCTTTTCTTTTCTTTTCTCCTTTTAAGAGGACTCCTTGTCCTGGCTTTGTACTTTTTCATGTTTTTTAATAAAATTCCTTTTTGTTGTTGATCCAAAAAAAAAGAAGTGAGTTCCTACGTTTGTCTTTAAAATGAAAACTTACACAATGAGGAGAGGAGTGCTTTTAGCTCCAAATTAGCTTGGAATGAGATGTATAAATGAACATATGACAAATTTAAGAAGTACAAAGTCATGGTGAAATTAAACAATTATAAACAATGTCTCTACCATGGTTCTAATTATTAGAAGGTTACTGTGGGTATCTATACTATACTTGGCATGTGGCGAGCCCAACGGGCATCACGTCAGCACCACTACACACCCACGTGTCAGACCCCTGAGGCACCACGATGAGTATGTCATCACCATCATGCATCGACGTGGCAGACCCCTGAGGCACCACGATGAGTCGAGATTGTATGCCTAGCCTAAACGGGGGCATGCACATCACCAAGAATGAAACAAGGCCACATGGAGCTGGCTCACTTAGATCTCTTCATGGCCCTTCATAACTCAAGAAATGTATTCTCTACCCACTCACCCAACTCCATGGCAACACAGCCAAACCCTTGGCTCACCCATGCATTCACCCTCTTGGCTGCCTAGGTCGGGAGCAGAACCTAGGCACTCCCGCTTGGGATCATTGGAGGATTCTGAATTGGAGGCTAAGACCTCGGGATCGTCAAGGTCGTGTAGCTATCTCCCTGCAGTGATAGCTCCCCCTTTGACCTGGCTTAGAGAAAGAGACATTGACCTAACACTTACATCTGATGCACATATGATACGCCTCTCAAGATATCACACCTACCCCTGCAGTTCCTATGATATAACCTCCCCGAGGACCTAAATCATAGGACACAGCTAGTAGGTCTGATATCACCCTCCTGTCGAGTTGAGGAGAACTTGCCACTTGTCTTGAGGTTGCTTAGGCTCCAATACTCCTAGAGTCTATATAACGCATCATAAGTGCAGCCACAAACACATAGCAAGAGCAACAAGAATCACATAACATACATTAAGTGTTCAAGGTCTGTCACTGCCACCTCTTCCCTCTCTAAGCTTGCCTTGGTCTTCTACTCCTCCACCTCCGGTGATCTTAAGTCATTGAAGTGCCTACCATCTTCCCAAAGGTCAACGACCGATCGCCTCTAATCTCTGAGTTTCGATGGATCATCCACCTCCAAAGGGGGAGGAGCTGGAATAGTTCTTACTTCCCCAAACCTCACCGAAGTCAATTTGTCATATAAACTGGATTTTCGATGCTCTAACAATGAGGCAGAGTATGAAGCCCTGATACTGGGGCTTTTGGCGCCACTCCATCTAGGAGTAAGTCTCTTATGTATCAAAGGCGACTCTAATCTGGTGGTCAAGCAAACCAATGGAGACTATGCTATCAAAGAGCCCCTTTTGGCTTTATACAGAACCATTGTTCAAAGGTTGACAGACAAATTCGACACGATAAGGATAGAACACGCTCCTCGCTCCAACAATCGACACCCGGACGCCCTCGCCACCTTGGCCTCTAAGGTGGAATTCTCAGAAGAATCGACCAAGATAAAAGTCCTGAAACGCTCCGTGCCATGCTCAGTAACAACTATCTTCCCTAAAAAAGAACCCACCGATTGGAGAGCCCCAATCATCGATGAGCTCCATGCCCCCTCAGGTAAACTACCTTTGAGTGAGACCAAACACTTCACAATTTACCAAGGAGTCCTCTACTATAGAGGGCCCGGTGGTTTATTGGCACGATGCATCGACCTTATCAAAGCCAAGTCCAAGCTAGAAGGGGTGCACAACCGCTCCTGTGGGACACGAGATGTAAGCCTCTACAGGAGGCTACAACGACAAGGATATTATTGGCCTACCATGGCCAAGGAAGCGAATGACCTTCAAGGGAAGTGCACCAAATGTCAGGAATTCCCTTTAAAGGTTGAATGCAACTTTACAAAAATCACCTCTGACTGGCGTCAGGTATACATAGATTACCTCAAAGAAGAATCATTGCCACCGGACCGCTCTGTAGTCGCAATAATCAGGAAGTGAGCTCCGAAATTCTTTTTGCAAGGAGAGCAACTTTTTAGGCATTGCTTCGATGGAAAGCCATTATGTTGCATATCAGGAGCCGAAATCCATAAAGTTTTGGAACTTACTCACGGATCGGAGCACCAAGGTGGAACGAAGCTATTTCAACACCTTTTACATATGGGGTATTATTGGCCTACCATGGAAGCAGACGCAAAAGTGTACGCCAAATGCTGCAAACCTTGCCAACTCCATGGAAATCTCATTCATGCACCCGCCACTGATCTACATAGTTCGAGCCCACCATGGCCTTTCCACACGCGGGCTATGGATCTTATTGGCCCTATTTCTCCGCCATTAAGAGGACACATATGGACTGTAACGGCTACAGAGATCTATACTAAGGCCTAGTTTGGGAAGACTAAATAAGTGCACTTTTTGACTTTTTATGAAATATGGGTTGGGTTTGAGTTGGATTTGAAGTGATGTGTTAGAGAGGTGATGTGACTTAAATAAGATGATGTGACTTAAATAGGATAGTGACTTTTTGACTTTTTGTCTTTTTTCAATCATGCCAAACTTGGCCTAAATGGGTAGAAGCCATCCCTCTAAAAAAAGCAACAGGAACTGCTATCTCCAACTTCATTCAAGAATTCATCATATGTCGTTTCGACATACCTAGAGTAATCCTTTCAGACAATGGGACCCCTTTTGTCAACCGCCAAGTCGGACAACTCCTCATCTCCTACGACATCACACACCATAAATCAACGCCTTACTATCCCCAAGGGAATGGACAAGCAGAGGCAACCAACAAAACACTCCTTAGAATCCTTTCACGGACTCTCAAGGATTATCAAAGGGGTTGGGCGCACGTACTCCCAATGGCGCTCTGGGCCTACAGAACATCCAAAAGACGGTCAACTCAAATAACCCCATTCTCATTGGTATACGACACGGAAGTGGTTCTTCCAGTGGAAATTGCCATACCCTCAGCTCGCATGGCCCTCCGAAGTGAACTTACTCCAGACTCCAGATCCTCTGAATTGGAGATCCTTGATGAAAGAAGGGATAAGGCCCTGGCTAACCTCAAAGTTTACCAAAGTCGCATAGCTCGAGCCTATGATACCTTGGTGTGCCCCAAACAATTCCAAGAAGGTGACTTGGTACTTCGTGTTGCACCTCATGTCATGAGGGGAACCTCTACCCACAAGTTCACTCCCAAGTGGCAAGGACCTTACATAGTAAGAGAGGCCAACGAGAATGGTTATTATAGAATTTCTGAACCAAACTCGCAAACTCTCTTGAGCCCTATCAATCCCAAATGGCTAAAGGCCTATTTTCCTTAGGATGAAAGTGAGGAATCACCCCTGAGAAGTTTACTCTTACTAATGTAATGGCAATGTAAGACATCAGCTTATGCTTATGATAAATACTCTTACTCATGTAATGGCAATGTAAGACATTAGCTTATGCTTATGATAAATAAACAATCATTTGCTATCTCCATTCTCATTACGCTTTGTGTAACTATCAATAAATCATCAATCCAAAAACAAAAAAAACAAAAAAAAAAGGAAGAGAGAAAACAATAATAATAAAAATATATATAGTACTTGGGGTTTTAGCTCAACCAGTACAAGAAATTCTTTAGCTTGCCTAACTTGGACCTATCTAGCTATCTAAGTCAAAAGCCTTATCTTCCACACTAACAAGTTGAGCCTCTACCACGGCTCTCCTCTCTCTCAAACTCGATATCGCCAAGTCCACATCCGCCAATACCTTGGTCGCCCGCTCTAACTCCACCACAGCCTTTTCCCTAGAAGATGCCGATTCCATCAAAGCCATGTCCATTTCCGCTAGCTCAACCTTGAGATGACGATTCTTTACTTGCACCTCCATGCGAGACAAACTCTCTCTCAGCCAGCTCACCTCAAACTCATGCTGCTGAAACTCAGCCACAGCAGCCTAAAATGACTTAAACGCATCAATAGAAGTCTTTGGAGTAAGACCATGCAACTCACTGAGCATATCGCAAAACGCCTCTAACAAATAGCGTCGTAAGAACATACCCTCCAAACGCATGAAAGTGCTTGGCCTACGATCAAAAATAAAGCTTAGTCTAAGCAAATACTCGTCTCGCACGCCAGCAAATACTACCTTGGGATCAAGGACCCGCTCCTTGCCATCAGGCCCTGCCAAGGATACGCAACCATCATCAAGACGGGCCACAGTAAACTCGTCATCCAAGAAAGGTAAACTGGCTCAACCGTCACAGCCAATGCCAGGAGCAATAGTATCATCACGGACACAACTACCACTCTCACCAAATGGCAAACCAGTAGCAACTCCCAACGAAGCAGGCAAAGTACCAGGCTGCACATCCACCAAAGGAAGGCTAGCCTGAGCACCAACTGAAGACACAACTGAAGACACAACTGAAGGCACACCAAGACGACCATCAACTGATGAAAAACCGTTACTCTCACCAAATAAAGATATGGTAGGGACTCCACCAGAAGGTAGGCGAGACTGAACATCAGGCAAAGGCAACCGACCAATCGGATCATCAACATCGGACTCCCCAAGCCTGGCTGGCTGTGCCACCGGATGCCCTAACTGCAACAGAGGAGGCGCAAAAGTCACTCTACTCTCACCACATGGCGCAACAACCTCAAATCTCACCCTATCAAGAGGAACATTTGCCTGCTCGAATGTAACCCTAACAACATCATCATCCTTCGCATTCAGATTGGCCTCTGAGATATCCTCATCGTCACCCTCGCCTTCGAAATCACTAAAACCATTAGCATTACTTTGTCTCCGCAACTGCCGACGCGGAAGCAAATCATCAGCAGAGTTCTCCTCCTCAGAAGGCACGCTCGCCGCCCCAAGTGCCACAGAAACATCATGATGGATAGCTGACCTTTGTACCTGAAGAAATAAAGCGCCCAACTTAAAAGCACATAAACAAAACATAACAAGGAAGAAAATCACGAAAAACAGAATACAAGCTAACCTTCATTCTCTGGGAAGGCTCCTTCCTAGGCTGGCTCAGGCGTCGTTTAGTTGTTCCAACTTCCCCTTGAAAACCGTCTGTACCAACCACCCTCGCCTGACTCAACACGTCAGAGAGTAACTCTAAACGTGCAAATCGAGACAACTCACCCCTAGCTAATTCGGTCCGGCCCTTTACGCGCGGTTGACACAGTTCGTTATCCGATGGAATGCATATAAACTCTAAGTCCCCAATATCACCCCCGAGAAACTCTTGAAAAGCGGCAAAAGTCTCCCTCCAATAATGTCGCCAACCAACTGTCACCCCACCTACACGATCAGCCCTCGTCCGAATAAACTTGCCACACTTCTAGAGCCTCGGAAGATAAGTATGACAGAAAAAATGCTCAAAAGTATCAGCTATAGGAAGGACTACGCCAGGACTAGGGACCCCCTGATCAAATCCAAATTGGCTAGCCACTCTCGCCGGATTATAGGATATAGAGCCATAAGCTCCTCCCACAAAATAAGGCAAGGAACGCGATAAGAAGCTACAAGCCGTCATTGTCTCAACACTACTCAGTCGACCATCAAAAACCACCTCAGAATCTCTCGAGTCATACATCCGAAACGGAACCACCCTGACGACCACAGGTGGAACATACGGACGAGCTATAAACTCACTCTCATCATCAAAAACATCCATCAACGGCCCCCGAATGCGTGCCCCATACCAGTGTTTTTAAAAGCTCAAGGCGCACTAAGGCGCTGAAGGTCTCTCGGGGTCTAGGCGTAAGGCGTAAGGCGCAAGGCGAGGCGCGGGCTTTATTGAAGTAAGGCGCACAGTCTTAGTAAAAAATAGAAAAATTAACATAGACTAATCATTCATAATACTAAGATAATTTTTTTAAAAATAAAAAGTAATCAAGATTCAAGACAAAATATAGAATAATTCTCAAAACCATGAAAGTGCATATTACATAACATTTCAATTTTCAAAGATAAAATAATCCACATTCAATAAAATAAAAATAAAAACAAAAACATAAACACTAGCATAGTGTATTAATTAATAAATGGAAAATAATTTCAGTGTAATGTAAGTGTGATTAATTGTGTAATGTAATGGAAAATAATGTGTAATGGAAAATTACACATTAGCATAGTATATTAATTAATGGAAAATTAATTAATACAATGTAATGGAAAATTACACTCCGTGTAATGTAATGTAATGGAAAATAATGTAATGTAATGTGTCAATTTAAAAAATAATTAATGTAATGTAATATGTCAATTTAGAAAATAATGTAATGTAAAAAAAACAGAGACCAATAGCAGTGTGTTAATTAATTATTTGTAAAAAAAAATTATTTTGTATTTCTTTAACATAGACCAATTTATTTTGTATTTCTTTTACAAAAAATTTATTTTGTAAAAAAACAGAGACCAATAACATAGACCAATTTAGTGTATTTTTTTAGTTAATCAATTAATAAGATAAGTCTTATTTTGTATTTCTATTTATTTTATTTTATTTTTTTGTTTTTAACAGAGACTCAAAGGCATAAATAATTGAGAAAAAAAAAAACAGAGCAGAGTAGACGATCAGATCAGACGAAGAAGAGAGAAGAAGAAGGAGAGAAAAAGAAGAAGAAAAAATAAAATAAAATGACCATCAGATCAGACGATCGAAGTCGAATGAGGGAGCGAGAGAGACGATCGAAGTCGAAGAAGCCAGTCGAAGAAGGCAGAAGGGGAGAGAGAGAGAGAGAGTCGAAGTCGAAGTCGAAGACACACCTGGAAGATGAAGATGAAGTCGAAGTCGTAGCCCAGTCCAAGTCGAAGTCGAATCGAAGTCGAGAGATGAAGAGAGGACACAGATTAGGGCTTTCGTTTCAGTCGTATTGGGTTTGTAGTGTATATAAGTTGTAATCCTCTGTGGTTAGAGCCATTTCGAACACACACCACAGCCGTTAGATCAAAGATTAGGGCGTAAACATCAATCGCGCCTAGGCGCGAGCCTTACGCCTCTCTCGCATGCTTCAAGTCGCGACTAAGGCGTGCGACTTCTTCAATGCGCCTTGCCTGGGACCAGTTCAGGTGCACAGGCTGCGCCTCGATGCGCCTTGCGCCTAGGCGCGCTTTTAACAACACTGCCCCATACCACCTAGTAGCTCGGCGCTCTCGCCCTTCTCCAGGCTCAAAATTCGTTGGTCTAAGAGCAAGCCCAGGAAACTGTTCATACAAGAACATCTGCAGGAAGGAAGTCAATACATAACTAATAACATCATATCGACCCTTCGACTTCTCTGCTCCAACTTGATACATATCAAGCCGTCTGTATAGAGTCCCCAAAAACAGAAAGACCAATCGCAAGATAAGCAACAATATCAAACACAAACGGGTCTACTCCATCCTTGGGTGCTCCCTCGAAGATATACCGACTCAACCAATATGCAAGGAAAGCAGCAAGGTAGGTGGGACTATGCTTATACTTTTCATATCCAAACCCATTTACCCTATTTTCCCCTATCTCGATTCCTTTTGCCGGAAATGGATTCAAATCTCGATACCAATACCGTAGCCATCCCCCAGAGGTATTCTTACAATGCTCCCGACGTTACAGCCCAAGATACACTCCTCCTTTATCATAGCCGCTCAATAAGAATCCTGTCTCTGAAACTGAGGTTTTCAGAATCGATACAATCTTTAGATGACTCGGAACAGATGTATTAGCAAGTGGATCTGCAACACCAAGTAGAGGCAAACCAGTCAATGCACAGACATCCTCCAATGTAGGTGTCAATTCCCCCCACAGAGTAACAAAGGTGTGAGAACTAGAACTCCAACGGGAAAATGCCAACACAACCATGATGGCTCCCTTCTCACATTTAACCCCATACTTGCCACTATAGCACCATACACACCTGCTTTCTTTAAAACCTCTTTAAAAGAAGGATCAGTCAACGCTTCCTCAACCCAAGCATCGAAACCCCCACCATTTTTAGTAAAAGCATAACTGTCATGAGCTGGGAATGCATATGGGTAGAGGCCGCGCTCTATGTGTAACCGCATAATAGATTCGGGAGCTATCATCCCCTCCGCCCCTTCTTCTGCCTCGGGTACCCCCAACAAAACCTGAGACGGATTAACAGTCCTCTTATCCTCCAACTGTTGCCAGAATCTATCCCCGACTCCAAAATAAGAAGCACGGAACCAATGCTCGACAGAAGGCACCTCAGCAGCCTCTTCCCTACTTGCTTTGCCTGGTAACTTTTTGGCCACTTTCTTCGACGAACATACAACGACTTTCCGCTTCATTCTGAGCAAACAATTTCTAGCTGCATCACCCAAAATTGCAACAAGTAAGTTTGTATTAATGAATCATACTTGTACTTAAAAAAAAAATTAATTAATTAATTAATCAAATAAGAAAATAAAAATAATTTTTTTTTTTGTTTTTTAATAAATAAGAATGAATCTTCCAATTTTTAGCTCTTCCACTTTACTTCAAGTCCCTCAAACCAGCTCTCTGATTTCATTGGCTCACCAATATGAATAGAGTTACTCTCCTTAATGGGTTCTCCTAATTCTTGGCTCACCGTGTGATGCTAACTAGACTTTCAACTTTACAACTCCAATATTTTATTAATTTTTGTTAGAGCTCTCTAAACTTACAACTCTCAGCTCACCAATTTCATAATTTCATAGCTCTCCTATTATGTTTAGAGCTGGTTCCCAATTCTCATGAATTTTCTTAAGTGTTGAAGTTAGAGCCAAATGTGCTAGCTCACCAATTTCATAGCTCACTAATATTTTATTATTATTTTCTTAGCTCACCAATTTTATAGCTCTCCTATTCTGTTTAGAGCTGGTTCCCAATTCTCATGAATTATCCTAAGTGTTGAAGTTAGAGCCATATGTGCTAGCTCACCAATTTCATAGCTCACTAATATTTTATTATTATTTTCTTAACTCACCAATTTTATAGCTCTCCTATTATGTTTAGAGCTTATGAATTTTCCTAAGTGTTGAAGTTAGAGCCATATGTGATAGCTCACCAATTTCACAGCTCTCCATGTCTTAGCTCACCAATTTCTTAGCTCACAAATATTTTATTATTATTTCATGGCTCACCAATATTTTATTATTTTTTTCTTAGCTCACCAATTTTATAACTCTCATATTATGTTTAGAGCTCGTTCCCAATCCTCATGAATTTTCCTATGTGTTGAAGTTAGAGCCATATGTGATAGCTCACCAATTTCATAGTTCGCCATGTCATAGCTCACCAATTTTCTTAGCTCACTAATATTTTATTTATTTTATTTTATTTTTTTTGTTAGAGTTCTCCAATTTCATAACTCTCCATGGGTTAGCTCACCATTCTCATAGATCACTAATATTTTATTATTATTCTCTTAGCTCACCAATTTCATGGCTCACCAATATTTTATTAATTTTTTGTTAGAGTTCTCCAATTTCATAACTTTCCATGGGTTAGCTCACCATTCTCATAGATCATTAATATTTTATTATTATTTTCTTAACTCACCAATTTCATGACTCACCAATATTTTATTAATTTTTGTTAGAGTTCTCAAATTTCATAACTCTCCATGGGTTAGCTCACCATTCTCATAGATTACTAATATTTTATTATTATTTTCTTAGCTCACCAATTTCATGGCTCACCAATATTTTATTAATTTTTTGTTAGAGTTCTCCAATTTCATAACTCTCCATGGGTTAGCTCACCATTCTCATAGATCACTAATATTTTATTATTATCTTCTTAGCTCACCAATTTCATGGCTCACCAATATTTCATTAATTTTTGTTAAGAGTTCTCCAATTTCATAACTCTCCATATGTTGGCTCACCATTCTCATAAATCACTAATATTTTATTATTATTATTATTATTTCATCAATTTCATGGCTCACCAATATTTCATTAATTTTTGTTAAGAGTTCTCCAATTTCATAACTCTTCACGTGTTGGCTCACCATTTTCATAGCTCACTAATATTTTATTATTATTTTCATAGCTCACCAATTTCTTAACTCACTAATATTTTATTATTAATTTTAGAGCTTTTCATTTTTCAACTCTCCAACATTTTTCAAACTCTCAAAATTCACGGCTCCTAAAATTTTTATGGCTCACCAATTTCATAGCTCCCCACAATTCTAATATTTTATTATTCGAACTCTCCAATCTTATATCCACTTTCATAACTCCTTAATATTTTATTCTAATATTTTATTACTATTCTCCAACCTGCTCTATACCAAAACAATATTTTCTCCAAAATACTGCCTCATAAAAATAAATAAATAAATAATAATAAAAATATATATCAGACGTATATATATATATATATATATCTACTAAATAAATACATCAATACAAACACATAAAAAGCTAATCTATAAGAGATTCGAAGCATACCTCACGGCAGATAACTCCAAGAAGATGATTCCCAGATCGTAGCTCAACTTCAAACGCACCAAGTCCTCCTCACCCAACTCGCAACTGTAGCTCGCCACTTCCCAATTCACCCTTCTCTCTTCTCACCTTCTCTATCGCCGATCAATCACCGAGAACTTGCCTCTTCCCTCAAGAATCGACGACGGCAACTACCCTTCGAAACCCTAGCTTCGGTGAATCAAAGGGATGGAAAGATCAACCCTACTCTGTCGCAAAATGTATCTAAGGTCAGCCCTCCAATGTCGCACCTCACAGAATTGTTGCGGCTCACGGTCGACGACCACCACAACTAGCCGGCACCCTTCTTCCCTCCTTCCTCTCTCTCACAACCTGTATCTCTTCTCCCTTCGTGACTTTGATTCGCTTCTTTGATGGCTCACCAATTCCATAGCTCCCCACAATTCTAATATTTTATTCGAAATCTCCAATCTCATAACTCCCTAATATTCTAAGCGAGGAACTCCACTTTTGTAACTCCCTAATATCTTGGTCTAATATTTGATTTTTATTTCCCAACTATTTGTCCAATATGTATCAAAATAATAATAGTAAATAAAAAAAAAAAAAGTTCTCAAACCCTTGGCTCTTTACCAAAATAATAACAGTTTTACTATTATACAACTCTCCAAAATGCAGCCCTTCATTTTTGACTTACCTCCTCATTTATTTATTTATTTTTACAACAGTCTGCCCCCTTTTCTTTTTCTTTGTTTCATCACAAAACAGACAAAACATATATATATATATATATATAGCGAATAAATAAACACATACACAGCCAATCTAGGGGAGATTCGAAGCATACCTCACGGCAGACAACTCCAAGAAGATGATTCCCAGATCGTAGCTCAACTTCAAACGCACCAAGTCCTCCTCACTCAACTCGCAACTGTAGCTCGCCACTTCCCAATTCACCCTTCTCTCTTCTCACCTTCTCTATCGCCGATCAATCACCGAGATTTTGCCTCTTCCCTCAAGAATCGACGACGGCAACTACCCTTCGAAACCCTAGCTTCGGTGAATCAAAGGGATGGAAAGATCAACCCTACTCTGTCGCAAAATGTATCTAAGGTTAGCCCTCCAATGTCGCACCTGACAGAATTGTTGCGGCTCACGGTTGGCGACCACCACAACTAGCCGGTACCTTTCTTCCCTCCTTCCTCTCTAACAACCCGTTTCTCTTCTCTCTTCATGACTTTGATCCACTTCTTTGATTCACAAACCCAATCGTTAACAACAAACTTTCTCTCCTCTCTCACGGCTGTCGACCCCCCCTTTTTATTTCCTTTCTCTCTCTAACAACCCAGAACTCAACTTGGAATGAGATATTATGAAGTAACTTAGAACTCAAGCTGAAGAGAAAAACATAAAAACCCAGATTTGCCAAACAGTTTTCCTAATGGTATAGGAAACCCAGTTACAGATAACCATGTCAATAAAACATCCTTGCACACCTTGGGTAAAGGGAGAAGACGTGGGCAGCAACCAGATAATGCAGAAAAAAAAAAGAAAGTTTGCACAATGGACAAAAGGAGAAGTGGATGAAGTAACCAGAATTTGGATAGCTTTGGTCAAATTCAAAATACACGGAATACATATTTTTGAAAAAAAAAAAAAAAGGGTGAGCTCCCCTTTTGAATAGTTTCGAACAAGCTAAAATCATATACACAAACTTCTTTGAATTCATACGAAATATATATATATATAAATAATAATGTGTATATACACACATACTTAGGTTGCACCTTCCCAAGGAAGAATCCTTAAACCAATCAAAAACTCTATGAATTCATATGGAATACAGGTTCTCTGCAATAGTAGTATATAGACACATATCCTAAGGTTGCACATTCCCGAGGAAGAATCCTTAAACCAATCAAAAACTCTCTTTTTGTTTGATAGAAACAGACTGCGAAAACCTTAAACTTTTCCACAAGTCACTTTTGCTAACAGATACACAAGCTATCACAAGTAGGTCTGCTCTAAACCAATAACTTCAATTGATGAGTTGTCCCCTCCATGGATCGTACATTCCCAATGTAAAGCTGCAAAAGTTAGTAAATTCACCACCTCTTTCCCAATGCAACCTTATCTTTATAAGAGAGCAAATACGGGACAACAACAAAAAAATGCAAGCAAATTCATATCCAATTGCTAACATTCTCCTCTAAACTTCAACAATCCATTCTCTCTAAATGGCTTCCGGAGGAGAGGGACACCGTGAGAACACCGTTTGGCGACCAGTGAACAAGGCTCCAAACCAGAGAGGTTCAAAACATAGAGCTTCAAGCTCCACTCCCACTCACCACCGCCGCCCAGTGTGTGAGTTCTTTCGAAGGATGCTCTCTATGCCTCCATGGCAATTCCAAAATCTGTTATTTGAATCCCCTTGGATCCACCACCCAATATCTGCTTCTACAGTTGTAGAGGTGCTGGAAGATTTTCAGGATAAAATAAGAGGATGGTACAAGGCACTAACTATTCCGGAGCTCTACATTATACCACCGTCCCACACTTGGTTCTTGCTAAACCAAGAAGGTAACCTCACTCTCCAAGGATCCACTTGCCAGGCAAATCAAGTATTAATCCCACATTTCGAGAGGATCCGAATCAACATTCTCTCGCAAAGACCGACAGAGAGAGATCTAGATCACCATATCTCCATCATGTCAGCACCATTGGAAAACCCAAATGAAGATCTAGGACTTGACATAGAGAACTTTGTAGATCTCAACATTGGAGAAGAGAATGCTTCCCGCAACGATCAGCCAGACATTTCCCACCACACTCCGCTCAACATCCTCTTTTTCAACACTGAGGGCGTCGCTCGCCCTAACTTCCTCCAGCACTACATGCACCTACACTCTTTTAGACGCTTTGATCTTGTCATCATTACAAACACAAAAGATAAAGAAAGTGAAGCCCAGTGTACAAATCATGGGTTACTCCAACACCAAGACCGTGAACCCACCTCCCAGCGGCATGGAAAGAATAACGGGCTGAATTTGGTGCCTATGGAATGAAGCTGAAATCCCATGTGATGTAATAGAGATCCCGTGGAATGAGGCTATTGCCCAACAAGCCCATATTTTCGTCCGGACAGTTCGTGCCAGATGAAATTGAAATATATCTCTCCCTTTAATTCAAAAAAATCAAACTTTTTTTAACTGCATGAGTTATATTTTTGACATCTTTGTCATACATGTACAGACACTCTCATGAGAATATCTATACAGGGGGCATTAATGTGGGTATCTATACTATACTTGGCACGTGGCGAGCCCAACGAACATCACGTCAGCACCATTACACACCCACGTGGCAGACCCTTGAGGCACCACGATGAGTCGAGATTGTACGCCTAGCCTAAACGGGGGCATGCACATCACCAAGAATGAAACAAGGCCACATGGAGCTGGCTCACTTAGAGCTCTTCATGGCCCTTCATAACTCAAGAAATGTATTCTCTACCCACTCACCCAACTCCATGACAACACAGCCAAACCCTTGGCTCACCCATGCATTCACCCTCTTGGCTGCCTAGGTCGGGAGCAGGACCTAGGCACTCCCGCTTGGGATCATTGGAGGATTCTGGATTGGAGGCTAAGACCTCGGGATCATCAAGGTCGTGTAGCTATCTCCCTACAATAATAGCTCCCCCTTTGACCTGGCTTAGAGAAAGAGACATTGACCTTACACTTACATCTGATGCACATATGATACGCCTCTCAAGATATCACACCTACCCCTGCAGTTCCTATGATACAACCTCCCCGAGAACCTGAATCATAGGACACAGCTAGTAAGGCTGATATCACCCTCCTGTCAAGTTGAGGAGAACTCGCCACCTGTCTTGAGGTTGCTTGGGCTCCAATACTCCTGGAGTCTATATAACACATCATAAGTGCAGCCACAAACACATAGCAAGAGCAACAAGAATCACATTACATACATTAAGTGTTCAAGGTCTGTCACTGCCACCTCTTCCCTCTCTAACCTTGCCTTGGTCTTCTACTCCTCTACCTCCGGTGATCTTAAGTCATTGAAATGCCTACCATCTTCCCAGAGGTCAACGACCGATCGCCTCTAATCTCTATCACCCACAGTTACTTACTCTATATTGAGATTTCATATTAACAGAAAAATACAGCAAAGTGATGCTGAAGATCATCATACTAGGTAGAAATTTTGAGGCCTTAAAACAGATCCATTCTATATATATTTGCATTTAGAAGATAGCCACTGCCTCTTCTACTAGTTCCTAATCCTATTCCTATACATAGAGTAAAAGCAATATCCCTCGCATCTTGTTGATTTTACAACACATACATAGACTTTAAAATATCGACACCATCATTTATATAGTTACATATGCATGTTTTCCCTCCTTCGGTCCCCATAATTGTTCTTTTTAAGTTTTTTCTTCATGTTTTTTTCTTTTTTTAGCATGGCTTCCTCCTTCAACACGTCTTGCAAGCTCAGCCAATAAGTTTGAAGCCTTATTGCAACTACAACACACTGTGGTTTATTAGACAGAAACCCTACCTGCTTTCAAAGGTTCTAAAAATCAAGAGTCATTGAACCCAAAATTTCAATTATCAGCTAACTTCCAACAGAAAATAATGAAATCAAATAAATAAACACCACAATGCACAATCTTGTGACACGTATCAGATTCATTATTAATTAAATAAGCACCATTTCACTTGTTCCTACACAAACCTTTTTTCTTTATTTATTTGTTGTTTTCTTTGGGATTGGATTTCAAACCTCCAAACAGTCTTACCTTCTCAAAATCTTCGAGGTTGTAGGGAACAAGCTTCTTTAGGGCTTCAGCAGATACCTGCACTTCATCATCATCAGTACAATCTGATCTTGTCTCACCACTGCTTGTCCACTCTTCTTCATTACTTCCATCATTCTCATCTTCGACCTCTGACTCTGAACTGCACTCTTCCCCTGATTCTGCATTTTCATCATCTGATTCACTTTCGGATGAGCAATCTTCACCAAAATCCTTCACAAAATAAACAGTAAATAACTTCAACTTAATTTTGGGTTTCATAAAATATATTTAATATTGCATATATATTAAATAAAACCAACAAAAAACAACTTTAATTTCACAAGCTTACATAAGGAGCTAGAACAGTACTGTCAAGCACCAGTAAGGGCACTTGTAGGTCTCGTGCAAGTGCTCTAACTAGTCTTTCTCGATAAAGCTCAGTACCTGTCAAATAATCAATGCGGACGTTCTTTTCCGATAAGCAAACTTGAACAGAAATTATTGTTGACAAACATAATGTTAATTTTGTTAAAAGAATGGATCAATAATCAACCTGGAACACTCTGAAGCAGTATTCTCCCACTTGAAGAAGTTAAACGAGAACCATAAGATGAAGTAAATTTCTTATGCTTCAAATGGGAAGAAGCACATTCGACAAGAAGCTTTTTTGTGTGTTCACTGTAAGAATATGAACCTGATTACTACAAGTTCAACAACTCAAAGGCAGATGAAAGAGAAAGCAAATTAACAGATGGTAGCACTTACTGAATGTAGTAAGGAAATGTTTCCCATGAAACTGTAATTTTCTCCCACGGAACAACCCTCCGCAAGAATTCATTTTTAAATTTTTCCCGTTTAGTTAAGAATGGTGATTCCTTCTTTTTACTCTCAATAGACAATTTCTCATTATTGAGCCATTCCTTTTGCTCTTGCTCCCCAAGTCGAGCATGTGCATCAAAATGCCTCGCACCTTTCTTAAAATCTTCCCTTTGAACCTTCCCCTCATCAAATTTAGCCTCATCTTTCTCAGGGACATGTTTATCATTACTTGCCTTGTTTCCATCACCTTCCGAGCTAAAAACCCGCAACTGACTACTCCTCCAATTTGCATTAGGCCTCCCATGTAACCTTGTATGTCCATTACCAGGGCCAACACCCCTTGATGAGAAAGAATCTGACAGATGTCCTCTAATTAAACTACCTCGGGAAGTGCAGTTCCCTGTTATTGTTGCAGAGCTTGAAGATCGAGAACAAGCATGATCTCGATAGTTTGAACTAATAAAAAATTTGGATTGTTGAAACAAGAGATCCCATTTTTTATTTTTACACATTAATCTCCTTGCATACATTGCAGCCTCTTACCCCAATAATAGATACCTATCACATGGAAAAGTTTGTCCCATCAAGTTTGTCACCATGTCCTGAAAGTTTGACTACATTGCACATTTTGATAAACATATTCAGCAAGAAGCATGAGTAGCAGCCAAAAATGTAAACTTTTATCTCCGAAACAAAATTGATGCAACAATACATAGTTGAGCTGGGTATTTCATGTAGTCAGAAGTGGTTAACAGAAAATATTTTGCTGATTTTTGCATTTTCCTACTTTCCATCTGGTTATTCAGCAATTAAACAGAGGCAATACATATTCACAAACACATATATAAGAAGAAGAAGAAGAAAAATCTCAAACAAATTACAAACAAAACAGCAAAGCATAAAATAAAATAGGAAAAAAATACAGAAAATTAGAAAATTAATATTTATGGTGCAACGGCAATATCAAAGAAACTTAAAATCATACAATCTAAAGCCAGAGATGGAGGGAAGGGTGGGGCCCTGGCCCAAATTTTTTTCAAAAGCCCCACATTTTTTGAAATTCTTGGAAAGCCCATGACACAATAATGTTTATCATTAATCCCTTTTTTTCACTCACTTTGGCATCCCAATTTTTACAATTCTAGCTGCCCCACCAATAAAAACAAACAAAAACATGTTTTGGAAAAAAATCTTTTCTTGAAATCAGCTAAAAAAGTTCTAAGGAGTGCTTGGTTTTGACACAGAGTGAGTAATATTAATATACATACATATAGAGAGAGAGTTTTCATTTGCATGCTTTTCAATGGCACAGTGTATGTGTGTGAGAGACTGTGTTTTGTACCTCTATGCCTACCAAAATGCATATATATATAACAAATAATGAATCCTTTGCTCACCCAAAAAAGTCAATACTTTTTTTAAATAAATAAATTTATATAGAAATAAATCCAGTTAGAGACTCAACCCAAATTGAAAAGGCCAATTTTTTCTCTCCAAAAATCTTTTCTTTGATAAGTTCCACTGCCCATGATTGAAGAGGGACAATCATGGGTAAGCTTTTACCAATTAGCTAACCTATTCATCACACAAATGGAACACACTATCAGAGATAGAGAAATAGCATTGCACCGAAAACAGACCTTTCCTCGATTCGTGCTGTCAAACCCTAGATTGCTTCATGGGCAATAGAGACAGTTCGTTACACAAAAAAAAAAAAAACATCAAACAAGCTTGGGCATGGAGAGAGAGAGAGAGAGAGAGAGAGAGAGTTTTCAGGACATCCTTGAAGGGTGGAGCGAGAGAATGTGCGTGACGACCGTTTAGGAAGTGTGTTTGAGAGAGAGAGAGAAGATCCGGGTGGGTAGTTCTTCAGTGATGCACCAAAAAGCTCGGTAGGGGCTGCGAGAAGAGTCGAGAAGTGTAACCTAACAACATTTTACTCCTAATGTGTGGCGCAATTCTTATGGCCCTCTTTTTTATATCAAAATAAATTTAAATGTAATTTTAAACGCGTTAAATAAATCAAATTTTGTAATCTTAACTTGTATTCCACTCCTTAAAATCTTTTTTGAGATCGAATCGTTTTGTGAATAACTTAGGGGTTATTTAGAATGATCTAAATAAGTGTATTTTTTATCTTTTTACGAAAAGATGTGCAGAAAAATAGAGAGGTAATATGATGATAAAAAGATAAAAAAAATTAATTGTTTTTAGGTTGCCAAACTTAGCCTTAATTTTGAGTGTAATTTTAAATTTGTTGAGTTTTTAAATCAAAATTGAATAACTTATTACTTGACTCGATAAGTTTATATTCATTATTAAAAAATCAAACTATTTGAATTTGACTCTTATTTGATTCATTAAAAACTTGCTTAAAATCGATTCATTAGCCTTGTTTAGCAAGTGAATTTTACGTTTTCTAGGCAAAAATTCACAAAAAAGATAAAATAAGTTAAAATAATTAATAAGATAAAATATCATATCAAATCCATAATTATTTTATTTTTTCTCTCACAAATATTACATCTATGTATAACAAAATTCAACCATCTTTCCAAACATAAAAAATTTAACCTACTAAAATAGTCAACTTCCCAAACGAGACCATTATATATATAAACAAGGCAAACTTAAACATTTTAAACTCCTTAAGTTATCAAATTATGCTTAAACTTGTTGCTCAACTCGTTTTCAATCCTACTTGATTTGTTTACATAAGAAGCCAATATCAAAAATGATTTTTAACAAATTAAACAGGCACTAAGTTCGAGTATCTTAAGTTGTGTTTGGTTTAATTTTGAAAGCAATTTTTTGGAGCTCAAAACCCAATGTGCTTGTTTGATTTAGTTTTCAAATCAATGCTTGAGAGTTCAAAACTCAAGATTTGTTTGGTTTACAATTTTCTCAAAACTATTTGCAGTCATTTTTTCTATATCTTCTCTCATTCTCTCACATCCTGCACATCAATCAATCATTTTTTTCTTATCTTCTATGTCCTCTTTCATTCTTTCACATCCTACACATCAATCAATCATTTTTTCTCTCACACAATCTATTTAACTGCAAAAAAAAAAAAAAAACTACAAAACTATAAAACTATTTTTAAGATATACAATTAAACAAATTTTCAAGTTTTGAAAACTCTTTTCAAAAACTTATCTTTCAAAATTGATTTCAAAACCAAACCAAACGGACTTTGGTTTACAATTTTTTCAAAACTGTTTTCAATCATTTTTTTTTTATCTCTTCTCTCATTCTCTCACATCCTACATATCAATCAAATTCTTTTTTCTCTCTCTCATTCTCTCACATTCTACACATCAATCAATCTCTCACATCATACACATCAATCGATCACTTTTTTTCTCTCATCTCTCATTCTCTCACATTCTACATATCAATCAATTATTTTTTCTCTCACCCCCATCTATTTAACTACAAAAAAATTACAAATTATCCCACATAACAAAACTCCAAACTACAAAATTATTTTCAAAATTTACAACCAAACAAAATTTTTAATTTTTGAAAACTCTTTTTAAAAACTTTGTCTTTTAAAATTAATTTCAAAACTAAACCAAATAGAATTTTTTTTAGTGGATATAAGCTTATTGAGTAAAATAGTATGTTGTTCAAATGTTGGTTTAAAAACTTAATGAGTTTCAAAAGATGTTTAAACTTAGCTTATTTATATCTATACAATATATATATATATATAAAACATGGATAGAATGTGAACAACATTTTTATCCATGGTACAGTGTTTTGCCTTTGTTAAAAAGTTGATTTTGCCTTGTGAATGTCTGATGAATCATGTGTATATATTTTCTATACTTTGAAGGCATAAATGGAAAATCATGATTTGCAGATAACTTTTTTACCCTTATTTCCCTTTCTTTTTGGCTGTGTGGCTTATTTGTATTCACACATTGGGGGGTAGGAATGGAAGAAGAATCATATTTATTTTTGTTGTGAGAAAATAATGCTACCATAGCACACTCTCTCTTTCTATCTCTTCTCTTATCTTCATCTCCTTCTTTTGGGTTTGTTCATTCTAATCACATATTTGCGAATCATATCCTTCGTCTTGGATTCCCACATCACGGTCGGATATTCGTTATCATTGTCTGGTCGAATATTTCTTGGTAAGTTGCTTCTCTTAGTGTAACACTCGCCTCCTTAATTCAATGTTCATTCTGTGGCTTACCTTACTTATGTGTTTATACGTGAGTTATATGCTTATATGTGTGTTAATTATGTGCCAGGTGCTATTTGAATTATGTTTTGATTGACAGATAGGTTAATATGTGAAATAGACCTGTCTGAATCGTTAAACCATAAGGTTGAAAGTAAATTTTTGGATAGAAAATTAGAGCCTAATCCACTCTAGTATAATTAAAGTTAGTTTGACTTAAAGTAGATTGTGATGATTTAATTAAGCACATAATTGGTGTAATTTAGTCCAACATAATATACTAGTCTCAACATTAAGAAAAACAAAAAGAAAGAGAAAAGTGAGAGAGACTTGTAAATATCTCTCGAGTCAAACATTTGAGAGAGAGAGATCGAGAGAGAACAAACAAGATGAGAAGAAGGAAAAGAGTAAAAAACGGAATTCAATAAAATCTTCACCAAATTAACCTCCCAAGGTAAGAATCCTCCTCTAACCTCTTGAATCTAAGTTGTTTTATCCTTGAATTCATATAATCTAAGTGGAAGTTAGGGATTGGGTATTGTAAGGTCATGTTTAGAATCCTAAAGAGTAGAAGTGTAAAAATTGGCTTAAGCTTGGGTCATACGTGGCATTTTTCATGATCAATCACTTGTTTCTTGCATGAGTGTTGTAGATGGGGGGAAAAAACTCCATGGATTTTGAGTTTGGAACTTACCATTTGCATGGGTTTGATTTTACTCATCAATTCTAGGTTTTTAATCTTTAAAATGGACATTGAGTTTTGTTTTAAACTTATGATTTTGTTTGAAATTATAAATTTTTCATCCAAAATGTTTTAAAGGGTTTTGGGCCCTGATTTGTACAAAAATGGAGTTGGTTTTTAGAAAGGTTGGTTTTCAAAACAATAGCAGATTTTCGATTCTGAAAAACCCAGAACCGCATGTACGGCAAGAAGGACCACACGTGCAGAAAACAGAGCCTAGGTAGTCGAGCCTACTGCTTTAATTACACGTACAGTGGCACTTTCGCATGTACAAGTAGGGCCTTTCACACGTGCGGTTTCAAGGCAAGCTCGGTTTTGTTTTTCTTTCAATTTTTCTACCTTCCGGGCCTCCGTTTGCATGGTTTTCACATGTATTCACATGCATATGCATTGCATGAATTCAAAGAGGATTAGAAAACAAATCGAGTTAACATATCGAATAAGTAACGAACAAACTGAATAGAGTTAAGAGTCGACTTAATAGAGTGACTATGAATTGAACATGTCATGCTTTAATGTGCTTTTGTAGGTCAGACGTCGCGTCCTAGCCACGTGATTCAATGAGCCAACTATGAGTAACAACCTTGTAAAGATATGCTCAATTATACGTATTTTTTGACATATATTATACTCTGTTGTATGACATGATGATACTGTTCAAATGAATGATTGTCCTGTTTTTACTGAAATGTATTCGTAGCATCCTTAGCACCTGTTTACTGTTACTGTTACAAAGATCTTTGTCAGTTTTAATTCTTGGAACTTCTATTTACTGTATTGATGGCACATCCATCAATTATGACTGTTCGGTCTTCATGACCGTTTGTACTGTTCTGTTAGTGGATGTACCACGTATGACTACTATGCTTCCTATATGAAATATGGATATGCTATGCAAATGATTATGATTTTCCACTTACTGATATAATTGATTGATTTGGGTTACAGTGATGACATCACTTATAACCTCTTTACATTGTTGTTATTCACTAGCTCTCGCTCATGCTTTTATATATGTATACAGGTGATCAAGTGCAAGAGAGGACATAGTGGCGTCGACCTAGCCTCCGTTTTGTCAAGCCAACTTTTGTGCCTCACGATGAGGTTCCTACCAGTCAAGTGTTAAGGCTTATGGGTGGCTCGGGACCCACTCTTTTGAGATTGGCTCTAATGATGTGAATGTTTTCTTGACTTTTGTGCATCCTCTGTTAGTAGATCCAACATTGTAGTATGTTTTGAGATGCAAGTTTGTTATGGACTAATGTACATATGTGTATATATAAAAGTTCTTTTGGTCCCATTTGGGTCTTTATAGCTCGTTGGACGTTTTATTTTCTTATTTATTGGCTTTAGCCAGTCCCATTAGTATATTACTATTAAACAAGCCTTTGGTAATCATGGATTATTGTCCGGTTACGACACTGAACCTATAGGAGCAGGTTTGGATCTTGACAATTAGGGTTTGGAGTAAAAGAGAATATTGGATTTTTCTTCTTCTGTTTTCTTTCTATTTTGTTTCTTCTACTGCGGTTGTGATCTGCCTTTCCCTAGATTTGATGATTTTTCACTTCTTACTTCTCAATTTTTGAATCTTTTTTTCTCTCTCACATTGACTCAAGCCACATAAATATCAAAGAGAAACCATTGCTCTCGTGTAATTGATTGATCAAGGAATCTTAGTGATTGTGAATATTCTAGGTTTGGCTCGCTTTCTCTCTATTTCTCTCTCTTTCAAGTCTCAATCTGTGTGTATCTGGGTCTAGTGTAGGATTTGGGGGATAAAAATCCCTTCAAGTCTCTCTCTCTCTCTCTCTCTTTTTTTAACCAGATTGTGGAGCTACAAGCTTGCAACTGTTGCTCTGCTTTCAAGTTTTATGTTTTGGTTTTGATTTTTGTTTCATTTATTTTTTGGTATTTTTTGTTGTTGATTTTTTATTTATTTGCTTCTCTTTTTATTTCTATTTTGAAGGGCTATGTGATTGT